TCATGCATTTCACGTAAAAAACACCGGATCTCAAGGTTTTCCGCTTAGAAAAACACAAGCGTATCCGTGGAGCGTGCAAACGCAGATAAGTAAGTACCGGGAAACGTGCCTCGTACCGTTTCACGATGGAAACGTGGCTAAGGACAGGTAACGCGATCCGCGCGGCGATTATCGACAAACGGCGTTATTTATTGCAGGTCGGGGTGCATGTGTACACTGTACGTACGTCACGTAGCTACGTGTCAGCTGAGAGATGCATTAGAGTAAAGTGTACTCAAGAGGATCTGGCCGAGAGGTCGCCCGAAAATAGAGAACACCCGTTTATTTCGGGTCACGTTGTTTCAAGGTAAAAGTGCTCTCTTTCCTGGAGCACATGCACACTTGGTCTCCCCTCGCCTCGCTCTCAATTCTCCCGGCTGCTTGTCAATGGATAAATAAACGCCTTTTCTTTCCAATTCTGGTCTCCTTTCCGTCTGCCATTCACTAGCTCCGAGTACAATCCCGAGCCAATTAGCTGAATTGCAATTTTTCTCAAAGTGACCAAGTTGTAGTGTAGATGAAAGATTCACGTAACCGAGGACGATTGTCTCGGAGAAAGGGAAGAGGAAGAATAAAGCAAAGGTATACAGTTTGCGTGTAACAATAGACGGTGAAGTCTGACTGGAGGTGAACGACGCGGCGTAGGCGTCCTCGAGACGCGTGAAACTGTTAAAGGGTTAAGAATGCGATCGGACCGGGGAGTTGGCGAGAGGCGGAGAGGACTAATTTTGACGGAAGATCGATAGGGCGATTAGAGTGGCCGTTGATTGGGGCTGGAAGAGAGAGCGAGTGTGCGAACGACGCGAAAGTGAACGTGTTGCAGGTGCGATAAATTACGAGTTGATGTGAATTGATGTCGTGGCTCATAATTGGCGAACAAGCCGTACCGGTGAGTTTCTCGTAACGAGAAACGTGGAAAGGAGGGGGATAAAACGGATCGCGAACACGAAGACGACGATGGCGACGCGATACTTCACCGGATCGGACGGGAGAGGGAAAGCTGTTATCGACGCCGACTCGGATCGAATTCCATTAACGTTATAATCCGTTAATGGTACCTAGGAGCACCGTATAAATTTATGAAAGTTCAAAGATGCGGAGTTAGCCGGAGATTCCATTATATCCAACTTTCCACCGGTGAATTTCTCTCCCTCTGATTGAAACTTTCCAACCAGCACGATTCTTCGAGAATAGGACGATAAAAGATCCTACTGTTTGTCAACGGCGCGCGTGTGTATCGAGCAAATAACCAATCAGCATCCCGCCAACTCGTAGTAGTGTGAAATAAGCATCGTCGATCGGGGATCGAACAGCCTCCTTGGTTACGCGATTAGAAGTGGCGCTCGTTGTCTCTTTGTAGTAGAGGCCTCGTGCAACGCTTATAGAAAGCGATTCTCGTTCTTCAACTTCCCACGTGCCGACCCATTTATCGCCGGCTCGATGGAGAATCGCTCGAACGAATTCTGGAGTGGATGAACGAGGGTGCGAAACGCGTCGTCGCGTTCGAAAAGGACTTCTCTGTTGCTTTTAACCACGGATTTTTTCTCTCTTCGCGTCGACGTCGCCCAAGCGTCCAACTGTTTTTTTTTCTCACTGTGTCACGGGGACAACGTGCGACGTAGACGATTCCTCTCGTTCGGTACGACGCAGCCTCGCGTGGAACAATTGGGGGTACGGACGAGCTCCTTCGAAGGAAGATCTTCCGTCCAGATAACATCCATCGAGGTGGACGAAACTGAAGGGCTCTGCGCGAAATTTGGAGCAGATCGAAGAAATGCAGCACGGAGATAAAAAAATTGGTACCAGCGGAAACTTGGCCCTGGGCCATTTACACTCTGCTACCCGTGAAGCAACGTGTCGAGAAAGTGCAGGACCATGCACAGTGTTCCTGTGAAACGATCGAATACCGGTCGATTTCTTGGAAACGTTCATCAAGGGGGGAAAGCCCAATGTATGACCACTAATTTACACGAAAGTTCGTTAGTGCTTTCTGCGGAAACTATGCGCTGGATTCTTTTGAAATTTTCAGGGTAGTTTTTTATACTTATGGACCAAAGAAAGGCCGAATAATGAGTAAAAATGAAAGTTTACACAAGTAATTATAAAACGATCCAATACTGTTCGATTTCTTGTAAAATCTTGCAAAAGTTCGTTAGTGTTTTCTGCGGAAACTACGCGGTGGATTCTTTTGAAATTTTCAGGGTAGTTTTTTACACTTGTGGACCAAAGAAACACCGATTAGCGAGTAAAAATGAAAGTTTACCCAAGTAATTATAAAACGATCGAGCACTGTTCGATTTGTTGCAAAATCGCAGCAGATTAACTAGATATCGTTAACGAAAGGCCTACTTAAACGCTTGAACATCCTTCCGCGAGTTTACCATCGATTAAAGCTGTACTGCCCCCGGCGCGGCGTGGCGGTGGCTTTATCGAGACATCGGAGAAATTGAAAAGCCCTCGAGCCGTCGACTCGACGTCTTTTGCGACGCAGAACCGTCGCATCTTCTGCGCAATTTCGAAATATTTCCAAAGCATCTGTTTCCATTAGCCATTCTCTCTCGAGAACCGACGCGACGCGCCGTTCGATCGACCGGCTCAAGCTACACGGGCAAAAGAACAGGGGGATCCTACGCGGAGTAGGTCAAATGCAATCGTGAGGGGACCAAGGAGAGGCTCTACGTGAAATACGCTGCACGAGTAACGAGAAAACTTAGCCAGACGTCAAATCTCGAGGAAACCAATGACAAAGCGTGAAATTTGTATCGATCCGTACCAAACATCTTCTATTTTTTTTTATATCGGTAAATTCAAATTTAATTCGAACGTTCGCCTGGGAGATTGAAAAATAACGGGGGACTATTTCGGTAAGTGAATCATTTCGAAACGAGGTAGCTAGGAGGTTAAACGATTGGTAATGAAACTGAAAACGTGGCACACAATTTGATCAATGTGTTCCAATCAAGATGAGATTATTACGTGAAATTGAGGCGAGACGCTCGGAGGACGTCTTTTGCTTGGCGAACGCAAGCGAGGCGTAAACGGAAAAGATGATTTGCCGGCCGGCCGAGCGATTTAACAGCGTTTAACCGGTATAAGCCACCGATAACTGCCACCAATTAACCGCCACCCCTGCAACAGGATGTATGCAACACAGGATGTAAAAGATGTCGAAACGGTGAGATTGTCGACGCACAGGCTTGCCGGGTGTAATTTATAAAACAACCGGTGGATTGCTTGTTTTCCCAAACGTGCAGAAACTTTCAAAGTGACCAGAGGGAGGGAGGGAGGGAGGGAGAGAGAGAGAGGGGACTAAATATAAAACGCCTCGTGTCAGCCTCGATAACCAGGTTCCACAATGTAGATCGCCTTAACAATGTGTAATCGATGATACATACGCGTTCGTCGGGAGCACTTGGAGAAAGGAACGGTTCAACGAACCGTTCGATGTTTCATTACACAGGGAACACGCCGTTATTTTGCCATAAAATCGATACGAATTATAGGTTGCGTAAAACCCGATTGAAATTAAAAATAAAACTCCCTTTGTACGTAGGAAAAAAAACGTCGAATCGACCGGCTGTCACACCCAGAAAGCGGAAAAAAAATAAAGCTACTCGAGGACCGACCGAGGAGATAAGTTCATACTCGAAAATGACCCGCGATAAAAATCTATGCGTTACACTGTTCGTGTCGTGGTTTGCATGGTTAAATTTATTTGGCCAATTAAAATGTTTCGCGTTTCACTAGTCGCACGTGCACACACGTGTGAACCAGGCGAAAAGTTGGACGTTTATCGGTGACGCATCGACGCGACGCCTTAAATTTATTTGGCCAATTAAAATGTTTCGCGTTTCACTAGTCGCACGTGCACACACGTGTGAATCAATCGTTTATTTCGAAGTGCATTTCGATATACCTCTCGCTGTCTGCCTCTTGTGCAAAGGGGAATAAATGCACGATTGCACTTCTATAACAGATATATACCTACGCATTTCGCAATCTCGCCCGATTTAGTAGCCCTCCGTCGAAGAACATCCTCTTTAAGTGGCAGATACGAGTAAGTGAAATAAGAGTAGCGTATTTCGAACTGCAACTTTCGTATTATCCTTCGAGTCTACGAGTATGTAATATGTACGTCTCGTATTCGGTCGATGCTACCGCGAACAAAAGAATATCGCACTGTTCGTATCTGGAGGAAAGCAGCAACAACCCTTTCGCACACGATTTATCGTTCACCACAAGTGTGAATGCCTTCTTATCGCCTTCACATCTCGCTGTCTCCCGTCTGTCTGAGGAGATAGCGATCTGTTGTTGATCCTCTTCCTCGATAAGAGGATACTTGGGCGACGTTGACGTGAAAAAAATCGAAACGCAGAATATCGCACGAACTACAGGTAAAACATTCGAATGAACCTCCTGCGATTTAATCGCGTAGGAGAATAGCAATGTCGTCGAGATTCGTAGGAGTTCGATTGAAATCGAAGAAATTATCATAGAACCTTGGCACGGTTCGTTGATCACACGTCCTCACCGGTGAAAACGATTATTTTTATGTAAAACTAATGAGGATGCAGCTGACGGAATAACGAAGGTAGTCGAAAGTGCGTTTCGACGATCGAGAAATCGAGATCGATTTATCGACACGGCCTGTCAATACCGAAATTCAATTGCGTGCAGCAGGTGCAGAAAGAGCTTTTTTCAATTGCCAAGAGTTCCCTTTCGACGCAATTCTAACGCAATTTCGCTAATATAGTTGTATACCATCAAGGAGATCGATGTATTTGACACGTAGTAGTAATGAGATTACTTTAAACTTCGTTTCGAAGCAACGTCGTATTATTAACCATACATCGATATATCGAGAAGTGATCCACGTTCCAAATCGCGAAACAGGCATTTTTCGACTCTATATTTCAATTGTATTTTCGAACGAATATTAGCAAAATTTCGTATTCACTTACGATGGATAGGAAGTTGATATGGTGTGGCGACCAGGCGCCTCGGTGAACGACACTCGCAGCAGAAGAAGAAGCAGGTACTACGGCGAGTCGAATACGTAAAAGTAATAACGGTGTACACTTTCGATAAACGTAGTAGGCAATGCCACGAGTGTAACAAACGCGTCGTCACGATCACTCTGAAGCACGAGGGCAGACAGTCTTCCGTACGCACGCACGCACGCACCGCATGCACGAACACCCGTGTAGGTTCCTTAAGAAACGAACGTAGGCACATACGTGTGGAACACACCACCACCGGATCGTACACGCACCACGTATCGTGGTAGCGAGCGTGGAACGATGACAGCCATCCGACACTGTCTTACGCCAACTGGTGTTTACTACTGAAACGCTCCGTCGTCCCTCGAACCGACGCGACGGCTCGGGACGAGGAACACACCGGGAACCAACGAGCCACTCGACGAGTGCAACAGTTGCTTGACCGGGGCGCCCCACAATGTCGACTATGGTTATTAAACGCTGTTCCGATGCTCCTCGACGCGGTCGATAAACGATGATCGAGGTATTTTTAGAAATCGGCGAAAAAATAAAGAAAAATATAAAAAGCCGATATGGAAAGGAAATAAAAAAGCGATACTTTATTACGTGAATATAAAAAAACGGAGATATCCGGTATGAGTTACTGGTGGACATTGATCCTGTTCAATCGAAGTATCGATATATGGTTTCGATATAAACCGTTACAACTTACGTTGTTAGTATAAAATTATATTTTACACTATTGTACAGGTACATACATCGCAGTGTTCTTTTTACCATTTCTTTAAGATAATGTTTAATTGATTTTTCGATATTGGATTTGCGTTGCCAGGACCGTCGTTTTTCGAGTTGCATTTTAAAATTTGCGAGTGATAAATTTCGATTAAGCATACTTCCTCGTATAAATCTTCCCTGGACATTTCCACGATACACGCGCACTCGTTTAACAACCAACGAAAGGATCTAGGTAACGATTTTTCGAATATTGCGAAATTTTTCTGTTTTACGCGGCTAAAGATACAGTGATACATCCAGTAGTCCTTGAAGGGTCGGAAAAATTTGTACGTCTCGTTGTCTACATTTTTTGACTTACTTCCTAGGGGTTGTGCAAAGAAGTCCTGATTTTCGCTGAGAAATGAAATGTCACTTAAATTAATATATTCGTCCGTGTTTAAAAAATTAGTTGTGATGTTTATATCATCAAGGTCAATGTCGCTAAAATTTAAATCGTCAGCCATTAAGAATTCTGCATTTGCGATACTTTCAATGTCGTCGCGTTTATCACTTGTCACGCTTGTTTCTGTAGCGAAAACATCGCTTCTGTTTTCTTCAATTTTTATAGCACTTCCTTTAACAAACTGACCCTTGGTATTTCGCTCAAGCTGAGTCTTTGGTCTTTTAAACATGATTTTTCTCATCGTGTCCAAATTACGAATAGATTCTTTTTCTGGGAACGATAAATGTAGATTGTACTTATCACAAACTTTGTTTTTCAACAGCGTCATCTCTGAATAAATGTTACCGATTAAATTTTTTTCTTCTTCATTTTCGCTATCGCTATCAATAGGGATTGCTAATTTCCCATTTGGCAAGATTTCGGAAAAAGTAATATCATCTTTGTCGTCGACGTTCTTTAAATTCGTCCTACTTATAATACTATCGTAATACTGTCTTTTAGTGTCATCAAGTTTAATGATACATGGTATTTTAGCATGGAGATAATCATTTACACTTTCACTTTCATTTATAACATGATCTTTCAAATCATCTTGCACATCAACGAGCTGCTTTAGTGCTTCGAGAAAATGTAAACCCCAATCTTTTATTTCTAAGTCGATGGCACACTTCATTGCTAGTTCTTTCAGACTAAAAATTATGTAAAAATATTTCTGACAAATTTATTATTGGTAGTGTTCTTAAATAACGTTTTTTAATTACTTACATCTCAGGTTTTGTCATATACCCAACTTTTGTATGAAAAAAATCATGCCTTGCTATAGTAGGAACATCATAGAATGGAGTATCCAGTAAATGTTGAAAGTATGAGTGAAGTGGCGTTAAGGACGGTGGAAATATGTCCATTGGCTGCTGTGATGTGTCATTTGTATTTAAACTGCTTATATGTTTTATCAAAGCACTTACAAGCTCTTTTGGTAAATGATGTTTAGAGTTTATTACATCTTGTTCAGTTTTATTTGATTTAGAAGTTATAAATTCCGTAAATTTTAAATATAAATCATCGATTTCATCCAAGTTCGGACTATATTTAACTTTAGTTGGAAAATGTGCTTGCACTAGAATAGCCTTTCTGCATTCAATATATCTTTGCCATTCTTGGAAACTGAACAGTTTTTCGTTAAGTAAGCTTCCTTCTATGGCTATGCTGAAATAGAAAACCACATTTTTTGTTAAAATAATTGACAGAGATTAATCTAGTTACTAGAGACGATAAACATATAATATTTAGAGTACAATTTAAAGAGGGCATTTGCATTCGCCAATTATTCCGTCGCCGTTATACATTTCTCTCTTTTCTTCGTATAATCGTGCTCCATATGTGATTAAATCATTTTCAATAACAGCGTATGGCATTTTATCAGACGTGAAATATGCTGCCCAACGACCATCAGATTGAAGAACAATTCCACCACCATTTTGCTCAAATTCTTTTAGCATGTGAGAAAAATGTTTGTGTAAAGCTTCCTCGTTCGAAAGATTGTGTTCAATGTCTTCTACGATCGCACGAGCTAATCCTAATTTTATTATAGACTCTCCATGTCCTGTTAAAGAGCACCCTACATTCCTAGTAGCATAGGTACCACAACCCAATATAGAACTATCTCCTACTCTTCCCACCAATTTTTTATTTAAACCACCTGTCGTGGTTCCAGCAGCTATACTATAACCATCATATGCTACACAACCAACAGTGCCTAAATTATCTAAAAATAATAAGTGCATAAATGGATGGAAATCTATTTTTTTTGTCCTTTGAAGTTATTAATTTACTTGTTAACGTGTCAATATCTAGTAAACTTTGATTATCGACGATTGCATCGGATTTTCCTTCTTCTTCTGGGTCGAAAGCTAGACGCGCGATCGGCGCTACCATATTTCCCTCTGATATCCAATTTAAGTTAGCGTGCTTGGCTAAATTTTTAGCGCCGTCACCCACAAAGATAGAGTTTGGAAAATTGTTCAGAACATATTTTGCAAGTGTTATAGGATGTTCTATGTCTGAAACTGCTGCTACCGACCCACATTTAAATGTAAAGCCATCCATTATACTTGCATCCATCTCCACTTTACCTATGTACATTTATAATAGTGACATACTCGTAACAGTACAATTTATGTAAATCTCTCGCTACCTTCGATACCGGAAACATACGCAAAATACCTGCTTCGTTTAATACGGATCCGTAACTACAATTAAAAAATTCATCACATTCTAACCACCATAATGCAGCTTCTACAGCATCTACTGACGTTTCACCGTTTACTAATTTTTTATAACCATTAATGGCAGCTTTTTTACAAGCTGTCATTTTTTCTATGACTATAGAGTTGCTGAAATTTCCCGCTCCGCCGTGTACTATTATACAAGGAACATTGCTTTCGTAACATTTACATTCGCCCTCCCCAAATTTTTTTAACATCTTAATATTTTCGCGGTACATTTTTTTACAAAAAAAAGAAAATCTAATATACGTTTAATGATTTTGAGGTTCCAAACACAAAACATTACTCATACTGGACATTCATTTTTTTTTAACATACCTGTTAATTTTCTCTGCAATCCTACTTATTTGACATTCTGTTATATCATCTAAAGCAAACAAAGTTTTTAGCACTACTATAATAAATGCTATTGCACGACCCTCATAATTTGGGATATAGGATTTCTTTGCATCAAAGGTTAATTTAGGTGGTGATAAAGCTATTAGTCTTTCTGCATACATTTGAATACCTCCTAAAATTATACGCGATGTGTATCAAACTAAATTAATAAAGGCATAATTAAAGGGTGTGAAGTATACACACTTGGTAATCCCAATTCTTGACAATATCTACAGACTAAAGATGAAAAATCGGGGCAAATTATGTCCCATACACCAAGAAGTTTCGCTATACTTGCGATAATTCGTCTCATTCCTTTGTGCGTAATTTCAACATTTTGTGTTAAAAACTTTCTTTCACTAGCACTTATACTTATTTCTGGTGGCAGTAAATGGTCTAGCTTATAGTAAGATAAATGCCCTTCTTTTCCATACCTAAATAGAAATATTCTTGTGATTAAAATTATATAAGACAATTAAAATTAATGAAAAAAGTAGGTTTGTTACATGCCTTAACATATCTCCTAATTGTATAGGGTGATTCCGAATTCGTAAAGCTAGGTATATAATTGCCCACAACCGCATAGGTGTAATCATATGTGGTCCTATTTTATATTGTGTAGTTATGTGCTTTGCTTTGTATTTAACTCTTTCAAATCTAGGTACATTTTTAGATAGCCTATTAATTTTTTTTGCTTCTTCTTTAGCATGAGAACTAAACTTTACTCTAAACAGATTAAGGATTATAAGACACTTTAATAGGTATTAGATGTTATTTCATAAAAATACTAAATACTTACCTCCCTTCATTGTCTGAAGATTTTACAGAGCTAGATTGGACACTGTATACACTTTGACTAAATAAACTGAGACCATCACCTTCAAAACTACCTTGAGACTGAAGGTATTTATTATAATCTGCAGATGCTAACAGCCTCTAAAAAAATTAGGCTTACGTAAACTTTTGATTAAACATTTAATTTTTGAGTCAGCAAACACTATCAAAATTACTTTATTCCTATTTAATTCTCTCTTAGAGCTTCCTTCACTTGGACCACCAGAAATAAGAGAAGTATTTATACTGCTTCCAGTTCTTCTACGTTTCCTGATCCTTTTTTGAGATTGCACCTTGCCATAAATAATTTCAGCATCCCTATTGCAGTGAATTATAATTTATCTCAATGCAATTTTAGACAAACCACTTTTAATATAAATGTACCTTTTCTTATATCTTCTAGCTAATTTTGGCATGTATTTCTTTTTTGTGGAGATAAATGCCACTTCAACTTTGCCTAAATATGTGGTCCATAATTGTAATACTGTTAGTTTTATATCAGGTGGAACTCCAAGCTCTATGAGCTCATTTGTCAGTCCAATTAAAACAAAATTGTACAATTCCCACGAAGTCCATCCAAGCTCTTCACCTTGTAATTAAACCGAAAGGTCACGATATTAAAAATGCTGTACAGTGAAACTAATTTTTAAACAAAATTTCTAAACAAACCTGATTTGCTTGAACCCAATTTCTTAATTTTTGTTTTCCGTAGTTTTGTAGAATTATCTACACGTAATTCAAGAATTTCCTCTCTTATATCCTGCACAAAAGACAAAAATTAACGATTCGTTTCTCTAAAACATGAAGCAAACTTGCAGTACCTCGTTTTGCGTTTGACATGTTATACAGAAGAAATAACCAGCTTCTTTATAAAAATCTGCATTGCCGCAAACTCTGCACTTCTGCATATTTTTCGTATACCCGTAATGGAACTCTTATACTCTACTGTGTCACATTTACGAGGTTATAATACGAGCACGTTAGAAATTTAAAATCCCTCCTCGTGTTTCCTGTTTTACACGCGCTATCGAACTTTACAGCGAATACTCATATGTACGATTCCATTCTAACTGCACCGCAATTGGTGCAGCATAGACGAATAATGCATTGGAAACGCAAAAAGGAAATGCACCCTCTAGCGAGAATGCAGTGCATAGTGATCACCGCTAATTTACGGTTGAATTTTCGGGGAAATGTAAACAATAATTGAAGTTTTTCTTGTAAAAGTTTATTAATATCGGAAGGCTGTGTGAACGGTATACAGTGTGAGGAATATCGTATCCTTAATTTCCGACATGATACAATCCCTTAATTGCGCGCTAAAAAATTTGTTACATTAAGCGAACTAGCTCGGTCTCGTAATCGGGTTCGTTTAAAATAGCGTCCTAACCTCAATCTCGTATCATACACTTCGAAGAAGTTTCGTATACCTAAGTAAAGGACCATGGCTAATTTCCCTAATGATAATGAACAACTTCCTTCAAGGGGGAGGTTTATTATAGAAATGTGACAGTGCATAAAAACGTGAACGAGAAATGACAAGGGACGTATAGTTTGGTGATTATGGAGTATGACTCTGCATCGAACTGTGAAGGTCGTCTGAGAGATTTGGAAGCTTCAGAAGATCAGCCGCATTTAAGAGAAGTACAAAAGCTCGAACGTTCAACCTGTACTACAAGTACTGCACCATGGCAGCCTCTACAAGTTGTGGTACCACAACCAAAGCTCAAACCAGGGGCAACAACAAACAAGAGTCTTTCCTCCCAGGTGATGGAGTATTATAACAAATATTCTCAGAATGCAAACTTGGACCAGTATTTTTCATTACCTACAGCCAGTACATCACCGGAAGCAATTAACTGTTACTATAGTATATATGAAGTGAATCCTAAACTAGAGGCTAACAGACAAGATTGTATAGGAGAAGAGTATAATTTAAGATCTTATGTACCTAGAGAAAGAAGAAGATGGGTAAGGCCACCACTTATCGGCCAATCTTCCAATACAGAATCATCCTCTAGGTATGTTCAACCATTGTCAAATTCTGTATCTCCATCACCTGATTTAAAAGGTATCACACCAGAGGTAATTTTAGAAGAGAAGAACGAAAGTCAAGAGATACTGACAGAGAGTGCAGAAAGGAAAATATCTTCTCCAACATCTAGCATCGCTTCTCACAAGCCGCTTGAATGGGACAGTGGAGCAGATGTTGGTTACTTCAATCTATTACCTAACAGTAAACAGAGTGACAAAAAATTAAGTACAATTGAACGCATGGCTTTAGCTAGAGGTTGTTCTGCTGCTCTAAGATTAGATCCTGAAGGTACCACAGAGTCAGGAATCACCGGCAAACTTGCAGGAGTTCAGAAGAATTCAAGCACATCTATGACTCCAGATGCTAATTCCACTTCTTTGCTTGGGAATGCGTCAGGGTCAGAAAGTGAGATAGAAATTACTCCGATTGTGAAGAATCATATACCAGGAATAATAGCAGGTAATGGTATAAAGTCCATTGAAAGATCCCTGCCCAGAGATCTTAAGCAGCAAGAAATTTTCGCGCAGTATTCAAAGAAAGAGCACAATCATGACACCCTTAAATCGACGTTCGCGTCTAAGATACCTTTTGCAAAGCTCTCGACCGAGGTAAGGAAAATACCGTGCAAACCGAACACGAACAAAGACAATATATGCCCTCCCACGTCGCCTTTAAAAAAGAGTACATCGATGAATACGTTAGTTCTGCCGCCTTCTAAATTAACGTTAAAAAGAAGTCAGAGTGAGTTGAATTTATACGCTAGGGATAAAAGCAGGGCTGCGTTGCCTCTAATTTTTAACTCTTCGTCCTCGATCGCCACTATTGTAAATAAACCTTCAACTTGTGATAAAGTAATACAGACGAGTCTGTATGCTTGCGCTCAAGAATCCGTGGGCGTTCAAGTCTCTGTTTCAGAGGAGGAGGAGAAGCCACCGTTACCAAAGAGAGGAACTAGTTTGCAAAAGGTTCTGGCATTGATCTCGAGGAATCCAAAAGGAACGTACAAAGTTCAGAATTCGAGGAAGCAGGAAGCCAATGAACCGCGCGACAAAGAAGCCAAACCGCGGCACAATTATTCGGAACCGGTGCAGAATGGCTCTTCGGCGCGAACGCCTCAGCCTGACGACGTGGAGGATACAACGGGCAGAGCGAACAGTTTCGAGTATTTTCCTGGTCACGTATACGAGAACGTGCCTAACGGAAGTGGTAGTCACATCTCGTCTACCGACACAGGAAGATCTCGTTCCACTCTACCGAACACGAGCTCCAGTATTAACGAGAAATTATGGGGAGACTCGGACAGCCTGGTGAGGGATCTAGAACGAAGCGTAAATATCTTGAAGAGTCTCGTCGACGCGAACAAATACGACAAGGAAGTTAAGAAAAGACTGATACATCACGTAGTGAAGAGACTAATCACCGCAAAGTACACCGACGATAAAATTGAGCACAATCTGGAGGATAACGTTCCGTGGAACCCGGACGACGCCAGGAACAAAGTTTACGGAAGGGAGATACTTGAGGCTTTAACGAAGAAACAGAATACCAGCGATTCCTCGAGAGATTGGAATCCACAGAAGGGAGTAGCGCGAGGAAAGTCGACGAGAAACAGCAGGGGTATCTTGAAAGACGTTGCTCTGGGAAGCAGCAGCGATAAATTGGATAAGAACACGGATAGAACGGAGACTGACGGTAGGAAAGCGAGGATGGGTCTTCGATCGGACGATTGTCACAGGGGTAGCAACACTACGATTGAGAAAAGCGAAAGTTCGGAATGTTTTGTTCCACAGAGAAGTAGTCGTAAGGGAAACAAAGTACAGGATATATTTTGCACTAAAGAAAGATGTAAAATTTCACAGGGCGATTCGACGACGACGAATAGCACTCCGCCTGATCATAACAGGATGCTGCTGGACGCGGTTGTTAACAACAGAAGAACAAGAGTTCGTTCCAGTGACAACTCTGGGGAACAAGCTGATTGGAGACTTCTCACCACGTTCTCAGAGAGACAATTCGAGCTGAAGAAATGCGGCAATTCCGATTCCGGGGATTCGAAGCTGGTCAGTTACGCTGAAATGGAGAAGAGGAATCAGTTGATTTGGATCACGAACGAAATCAGCCACTTGTGCAACCTGAAGAAGCTACTGGAGGAACCACGAAGACCTGAAAGATCGCGAGCATCACCGAAGAAGTCGAGATCGGGGAACTTCAAGTCGAAAGAAGAGGATTATTTGCAGAGGAATGGATCAGACATGAGAATGAATTCGGTAGAGGAACCGTGGTCGTCTCATTGCAATTTAGCAGCTTGTCAACTGTCCAGCAGATCTAACAGCATCATTCAACGGATCAAAAAACGAAACAGCTGTGCACAAACTGCAACGAACGTGACTGGTGCTCACTCGAAGACTGGCGGTGAGATAGTATCTGCGTCGAACATCCAGAATTCGACGATGAAATTGGTCAGTACCGGAGTGCAGACTGTTCCTCAGGAAATGTCCACGATTCCAGCTCTGATACAGTCAGAAATCGTGCACTACGTCAAGTGTCCGGCGCACAATGCGTTGCACTTTCCGAACAGCTATGCAAAGTGCAACGATCAAGCCAGTCAATGTATAAAACATCAAACCATTCAGAATATGGTAACCACTTGCATGCAGTGCGTGCAAGAGCAGAAAGATCGGTCGAGCAGCGTTCAAAAGGTGCACACGAACGTGGAGAACTTCCGGGAGGAGAGTCCTGCGGGAACTGAAACATCGTCGGAACGCATGATCGGTAACAGCGTCAGTTCATCCGAGATAATTCATCACTGCGTGAACAAGGAGGTTCAGACGAGCCCGTTTAGGCAGAAGGAAGCCAAGAATCAGATAAACGCCTCGAAGTTGAAATTCTGCGATTGCAAAGCCGGTCACGGTTGTAAATGCGAGAGCAAAAGAGCATTGTCCAAGGCATGCCAATCGTGTACGACACAGGTGACTAATTCGAAGCACGAGGAATGCCAGAAGAAGACAATGTATCATCCTCGAGACAGAGAGGAAGGCAATTGGAAGGAGTGCAACTGCACGAGCGTATGCAACTGCGAGAGCGAACAGCAGAAAAAGGGACGGGCACCGATGAGACATAGTTCAAAGTATTATCAGAGTAGCAACGGATACATATCGAGCTTGAATCAAAAGAAGTTGTGCGGCTGTTCGAACGATTGTACCTGCGAGAACAGCCGTGGCGAACCGGATGTCCAAAATGCGAAAGCGTTCTGTGGTTGCCATACGAATGGAAAGATGCAGTACAATGGTGTTCGTCACTATGCACACTGTGCGGAAACGGAACCGGACGAACCGTGGCCTTATCGCGTGAACAATGGGCAAGCAGCCAGCGAAGCTTCACAGTACAAAGTACAAAACAGCTTAAAATGTGATTGCGAGAAGGATTGTTTTTGTAGCAACAGAGGGAAAAACGGGGAGGATGTGTCGCATAGGAGGGCGTGCAACAGCGGCAAACCAAATTACGTGGACGAGGCGAACCAAACCAGCGATTCCGATAGAAATTGTAAATACTGTCGCCACTGTGGCGCACCGTATCAGAACCTGAGGAAATGTAGTTGTAATCAAACGTATCCGAAAGCTATCGCGTACGAATTGTCGTTCTCGGAGGAGAACGAACGAAGGAACGACAATTCGGCCGCGTTGCCAAAAGTGCCATTATCGAATCGTACCGTAAACGAGGGTAAAACAGAGGGCTGTGTTTGTAACATGATTAATAAGAAAGCTAGCTCGAGGAAAAACTCGCCGCAAAAGAATACGTTACAAGTATGAGCAAAGATGACATAGCGATGAAAGTAGGCGGTGTGAATGAGAATGATTAATATGTTGATTGATTTTAGGATTATTTGTCCAAGAATAAAGCAGAATTCGTGAATAATGCGGAAACGCGTCGGCAGTACATGTCCGAGATATGTCATTTGCGACAATTGCGAAAGGAAAAGCGAATACAGTTATTGGCGATGGCTACTACGTCGAACGTTCTGAGACCACCGAAAGTTTCTTCGAAACCGACAAGTAAATTAGTCAATTTAGCAAATTTATCTTATCGATCTGTATAATTTCATTGTTTCCTTTTTCATTTCGAACGTAGTTTACACGCAGAAGAAGGTGAGCGACGAGCAGATGAGGGAGAGACTGAGGAAACGGTATCTCCGTTTGAACGAGGTGCGACAGAAGAAGCGGCAACAGGAGAAGCAAGAAGAGGCGCGACGTAATATGCTGATGGCCAAAATATTTTGCAAGAAATTGCAGCAGAAGGTACTGAGGGGACAAGTAGATCTGTCTCAAAGCGTCAGCGTTATATCCAATATGTAATGTTAGAGAGGTGTTTTGCGTGTGCGTAGCTTAAATGTCAATTTTTAGTAGTCTGGCACTTGTTCAGACGATATAGAGAGAAACGTACAAAATATGTAATTCCAAATCTGTTTGGTCCCAGTGAGCAGAACGATTAAATTGGAAGATTTGTATCTTTTTTTTTTTTTTTAGAAACTCTTCGCGACAATGCATAATATAATTACTAACATTGCGTTAATGTTTATTCTGTAATTTAAGACATGTTTGCGTATAAAATCTACGATTATACGTAGCGGTTTTTCAAATGTTCGTGTGCGACATGAAACGAAGCGATCAAATTTAGAAACATGGACGATCCAAGAAATGTGTTATACCTATATCTAAGAATTGAAGTATCATAACGCGTTGTTCTTCAGACCTGTGCCTAGAATCTACGATATTTATATTGAACTTAAGGAAACCTTGTCTTGCCAAGATATTTTCATACTAAGAAATATATTTAGACAACGACGCACGTGTAACGTTTAGATTTGATATGATAATATCGCAACAATAACGATTTTCGTTCTCACGCGAAACGACGGAGGAATTTCACGGCGTCCGGCGGTTTTTTTTCTCGCATTTTACTGGTAAAATGTTCTGCTAAAAAAAAGAAAAACCGCCCCACCGCGCCGGGGAACAACATTCGATCGAACTGGATCGCTCGTTCGTGGGAAAACTGAAATGCTTTAAGACGATGAAAGTAGTTATTAGTACCTGAATCACAGTACACAATCCTTCGTTATTCATAAGACTTAGATGATATAGTCTCTTGGATTTTTCTAATATTTTACCTTTTTGTATAACGATTATACTCATTTTGGTTTATAAAAATAAAGTGGATCTACGCATCGATCGTTTCTCTTTTATTTTATCCTTCGATCCTCTACGTTCGCTACACGCTTGTATCGGAAAGAGACAGGTATCGGAACGTTTCTACATCCGTTCTACGCGTGCAACTGATTTCACTTTAAGCATTCGATTTTTTATCGTTCGTTCGGTGTCCTTGGTCGCTAATAAGCCGAAACAATGTAAAAGTACACCGTAACACTTGGAAATGGAAACTAGTTTTCCTCCATTCGCGATATTTTATACTCCCGTAATTTGCCTAATTAAAGGCGTTTTTAGGTTGTTCGGAAAATTGCCAGCATTCCTCGCCGGAGAACAAATGCTCGTTCAAGAGAGGAACGATCAGTCGTAGGGAAAAAAAAGCCGCGAAAGATCGACAACAACCTTGTTCCAGTAAAATAACTCTGGAACAAAAACCCCTCGTTTGTTCCAATTACTAGTCGCTCTATATAAGAACATCCACGGATTTCGAGACAGTCGGTTTTCCTCTGGAAACTGAGAATGTGTCTCGTACAAGGAGATATACTTGAAAAGTTGTCCGCTGTAACGACACCTTACTCGAACTGATTCAATTTTTGGCTCGAATGCCACGGTATTCGTTTATCTTCGCGAAATCGGTCCTTGTGTCTTTGATCAACGATCATTACAAATAAGAACGGTGAAGTGAAAGATATAGACTATAAGTTCTACAAGACACTGTAGAAAGATGGCTCCTCAGATTGAGAGCAACAACGATTTGGATAAAATTCTGAGAGAAAATTTTACCAGCGAGTTTCGCAAAGGGTACATCACTGTAACAAATGTTTGCTTGCCGAGTAGATACGACGAATTCGCAGAAGTAATCGAGAATTTCGAAGTGAGGGACGACGATGTTTGGGTCTGCAGTTTTCCCAAAACTGGTACACGCTTGTTAATTTCATTAATTTGAGAAAAAAGAAATATAAAATGTTAAATCTTCGTTTAAATCGTGTAATCAGGAACAACGTGGACTCAGGAAATGATCTGGTGCATCGCGAACGATCTAGACTTCGAGGGAGCAAAAGTCAGGCTCGCTGAAAGATTTCCTTTTCTAGAGTAAGTTGAAAAACAGGATATTCAATATTTTGCAGAGATATATAAATAAAAATGATGCATTTTATTAGGTATTCCGTGCTGTTTGATTACACTACCATTCTACCGCGCTATCCGGAAATGAAACTTCCTCAGTTAGTCTTGGACAGCGTGGAATATACGAAAAATCGAGCCAGTCCAAGATTTATCAAGACTCATTTGCCTTTCACGTTACTTCCACGTCAGCTTCGAACGGGCGAGAAGAAACCAAAGATCGTTTACGTCGCCAGAAACCCGAAAGACACTTGCGTCTCTTATTATTACCACTGTAGATTGATGGAGGGTTATCGTGGCGATTTCAATAATTTCTCTCGTCTCTTCTTGGGTGAAAAACGTAGGTGCAAGTGTGACAGAATTATGAATTAAATTTACAAATGTAATTTGTTCAATTTTACTCGTCAATAGTGAGTTTTGCTCCTTACTGGGACCACGTCCTCGATTTCTGGAACCGAAGGACCGATTCCAATGTTTTATTTCTGAAATACGAGGACATGAAAGCTGTGAGTATGTTAAAAAGATTCGGTTTACATGGAAGATTTATCGGTATCTTTGTTCGAAATCTAGAATCTCTCCACGGTGATAGAGAAATCGAGCGCGTTCTTCTCTAAAATCATGTCTAGCGACGAAACGAAGGCGTTGACGCAACACTTGAGTTTCGCCAACATGAAATCCAATCCAGCCGTGAACTACGAGGATCATATTAAAATGAACAGACAGATGAAATCGATCAACGTCGACGGTGAATTTATTCGAAGCGGTAAAGTCGATCAGTGGAGAGAAGAAATGTCCGAAAGTGTGATCGAACGATTCGACAACCTGACGAAGGACAAGTTCTCCTCGCAAAATCTTTTTTTCTGAACTGTAAAACGTGCGATAAATTGTCATTCGTCGTCTCTGAGCTTTGGCAGCGTTCTTGTTTTTGGTTCGAGGCATCGAAGAACATTCGGCATACTTGTTCTGCAAAGTTCTCCGATCGAAGCTTTGGTCAGAGGTGTAAAAACGCACGTGTCGCTGCCTCTTTCGATTAAAACGATCGCTGCATCCCTTTTTCTCCACAGTAACGCTATTTGAAGAGCAGTGAAGCCCATGTTGTCCCTTGCATTTACATCAGCTCCGTGATCCAACAGAAGTGAAAGGATCTCCGCATTTGAACGATAAACTGGACGAATAATTATCGATAAATATTTCATCGATCTCTCCTTTCGAATTCCTTACCTGAAGTCATTAGCGATGTTCGTCCCTTAAAATCCTTCCGATTTACGGAAACACCATGATCTAACAGGAACGACACATTTTTTAACCGTTCTCCAATGATGGCGTATTCGAGACAAGTCCAACCCCTTCTACAAGTACATGTTTCTTTAAATAACAGCTTAAATTATTATTTCAAGCGTGCATCTTACATATCCGTTTTCCGTGGATCTGCTCCCCTTCTCAGAAGAACGTGCAATATTTCCGGGTTTCTCGAAACGA